GGGGGCGGCCCAACAGCCGAGTGCCAACAACAACAACAAGAGCAGCAGCAACAACAACAACAACAACGGCAGCAGCAACAACAACAACAGCAGCAGCAACAACAACAACAACAACGAACAGCACGAACAGCAACAACAACAACAACAGCAACAACAGCAGCAACACCAGCAACACCAGCAACACCAGCAACAGCAACAGCAGCAACAACAACAACAACAACAACAACAACAACAACAACAACAGCTGTTTCAGGAACTCGCCCCGAGACAACGGCAATTTGTGCTGCCGTCACACCCAATGCATCATGATCTGACGAATGGCTGGGTCCAAAACTCGGTGTCCATGCTGGTCAAGTAACAATCAAAAAACCAACCGAAATCGAAAAAGTGACGCAACATTCCTCTCCCCCCACCCCCTGCCGCCCCCACCAAAAAATCAATCAACCGCAAAAAGAAACCAAAAATAGAGTTTGTCCCACGGTGGGCGGTGGTCCAACTACACACATGTCATCAAACAATACGTACGCGTATAAATGTGTGTTCGGCCCAAGTCAAGTGACTTGCGTCGAGACAAATTTGCGTTCCAACAGTGTGCCGACCCATTTGACCCATGTCAGGCATCCCCAGCAGAAGCGGGTAGCTGCCCTGGTGGGCCGTGGGGGACGCCACAGGCAGTTTTCTTTTGGTGTGTTGGAGCGGGGAGAAAAACACAGCAGGGAAACCGATAGGAGCGAAGAAGGACCGCACAAGCCTGGATTGAGCAAGGAATTGTGACACACATGTGCGCTGAATATGACTTTACTGGCCTCCATTATCACAAGGAAACAAACACGAAACCAACCATTGGGCAGGAGCTTTTTAATGAGAGACGAGGTTGAATATTGCATGGCTTGGCACTGGGGAGTCGCTAGGCAAATTGGTAGTTGCACTCGTCAACTTGCAAAAATTCCAAGTTTCTGCACTGCCAGTGCTTAATGCCATCCCAAGGAATCGAGGATGCTTGGGGATCATGTCCTTTTCATGTAGCCAGGTGTACAAAGGCTTCAAATATAGATACTGGGAACGACACGGGGGGTCTTTCTTTGAGGGTATCCCTTTTTTGGTGGTAAACGGAAACTAAAAGGAAGACCGAAGCCCTTTTGGGGGTTCAACCATTAAAAGGACAACCTCATACAATGGCAAGGCGGGTGTTCCTGGAGCCAATGAAGTTCCCTTCCGGATTTTTTTGACTTGGACCTTGTCGCGTTGGCAATCTCGACTTTGCGAAGCGCTGAAAGAATGTGGCGTGTTGTTTGAGGGTCCCCTTCTCAAGTAAAGTTAGTTGGTGGTTTGGATTGGTGGCAAATGGGAAGGCACCCCCGAACATCCAAACCACCAAGTCAAACCAAAAGAAATAGGGGGAAGGTTATTTTTTTGTGCCGTATTTCGACAGATTGACATACACATATTTTTCGCCTGGAGTGAGGGCCTCAGTCCTGCGCCAAGGCGAGGCCAAAGCATCAGCACCACGTCCAGTGACAATGCCAAGGAGACCCGATGGATCGACGCCTGCAGGGGGTTACTTGGACCTCGCTTTTGGTTGGACGTCCTGTTGTTCTTCCAGTTCTTGTGTTGATTAGCAGGTGACTTGGATGGCTTGCAGTGGATGCGGGTGTGTGGGTGCTGTTTTGGTTAGGGCTGATGTGGGTTTCAAGTGGTGTGTGTTGTGCCTGTTGTTGCTTTCTCTTTGTTGACTGAATTTGACTTCCTTGCAGCGTTGCTGGATTGGGCTTGGTTGCAAGCCACTGTTGGGTTATACACAGTTGTTCGGCACAGGAAGAAGGATGGGTGCGCTCTTGGCACTCCGACAGACGGGCGAGTGGATGAAATGGCTGAATGGTTGGGGATGGTTGGATCCAAGGGGAGTAGACAATGGGCTGGGTCATTAGCTGCCGGAGTGACTGATTGGCTGGCTAGCTGATTGGTCAGTGCCTGCAGTGTCTCTCAGTCTTGTCCTGAACTTGTGTTGATTTGCTCTGCAACTTGCCGGCAACTTTCAGCAATGAAACATTAATTGTGTTGTTTGGAGAAGTCTTTGATGGCTCCTCTCGGAAATCGCAGTGCGCCCTGCAGGAAATCGAAAAAGAAGGCGTCGCGAGGAACTTGCTGCTGAGTGCGCTACCCATGTTTTGGGCTGAAACGCGCTCGTCTCAAATGTATATATATATATATGTGTGGGTGTGACTGGACGCATCACATTACCTCATTGTCCGGAGCCCGAAGGGAACCCTCCAGAACCCCATCCAAAGGCACACCCGCGGAACCTTCCAGAACCTTTTGGAACCTTCAGGAACCCCTCCCAGCAGCTGCCGTACCTCAGAGACTCCATAGCTTTCAGCTGTTGGGGAGGAGTAAATGGAATGTATGCCCCTTTGGTGTCCTCTTTTGTGACTCCACACATCAGTGCCAGGTAAGCATGGGCCTCACTAGCAGAATGCCCAGCCGAGCATTCTGGTGGAAGATGAGGGAGCCATTAGCTGCTCAGCATCTAGCTTGCGAAGGTCCTCAGGACATCAAGCAGGCGAGTTTGTCTCCTATCTAACGGCCTTCGTCTGTTTTTCATGATTGCGTGGCCAGCCTTCAGACAGAGATGTCTCGCAATGCCCAGCTTGAGCTCCTGTTCCCGGTCCCCAGGCTCCATGTCAAGGACAAATGCGAAAATGGTCAGGCCAGCTTTGGCACCATGATCCTAGAGGTCATTCAGTTGGGTGGCCCACATCGACATAAACTGTCGACCAATTTGCCATTGACTTGTGAGCTTTGACGGTCCGCTTGTGTCACACTAATGCCCCGATCGCCCGAGTTTATCATGTGCCTGACCAACAACGTCGGGCATCCGTACAATAACCCGCCAGAGGATATAGCAGCCGTTAGACGTGTCATGTCTCACGGAGTGCTGTGAACTCAGAGGACGCAGTCACATTAATGTTGACAACAGAGAAAAAAGGGGGGGAGGTTCCCCTCGAAAGTGATGAATCCCCACGAACAGGGGACCCCCACTAAAAGGGCCCGCCAAAACACAAAAATCAACCAGGGAGGGGTTTACCCATTACCCTCTTGATCTTTTCCCAGTGGCTGCAAGCTCAACCCTGGATGTTACTACTAAGATCGCTCCAAAAGAGCGCACATGTCGCCCATTGGGCAACGGGCTGTAACGCGATGATATTGATGTGGGTTTGGCTTTTTTCACCAGATTCCCTTGCCGCTTGCTTGCAATGAAGAAGTGATTCAGCCCCTGGTTCCATTGACCATCGCCAGCTTGCTGGATGGAATAGCTGTTCCAGAATGTTGGGACTCTCATTTGGAAGACATGGCATCAGGAGACTGACATCTTGTGTGGAACCCTGTCAAGCGATCCACCGCTTCTGATATGATTCATCAAACAGAGCCGGTGGGGTGTACTTGCTTCAAGGATTAAGTGATCCAGGTGCAGCATCCGTGTCGTTACCACTGGGAGGCAGTGTTCATATCAAGGCATACAAGTGTTGATGCTTTGACTGCTCGTGCATTGGCATCCATTGAAGACAACATGATGCATTTCCACGTGTTTGAAGAGAACATGATGTCTGACAGGTCAATCCTCTGCAGTATCGCTTGAATCGATGTGTTTGCACGTGAAGATGCTCTTGCGACTCAGCTCTTGGACTAAAGTTTAATGGTTAAGTCGGCCCAACGCTGCATGCATTCAGCCAGATCAGTTCCAACAGAAGGGCAACAGCTACGGCAATCAACTCAATGCGATGTTCCACAGGCTTTGCCTGAACTTCTTGGACCACGCCTTTCAAATCAGACCAAGTCAGGGGATCTGATATCCAAGAAAATCTGAAAATCCATGTTGGGGCGTGCTTGCACCGCTTTGCCCGCAGAGTTCTGCTGAGCGCAGTGGCCTTCGGATCTCGTGCGCACCGCGCGGGCGAGAAAAAGACCTGGATGTTCAAGCCCTATGTGAGTTGTGCATGCTCATATGCATATACCGGATCTCTCTCCCCCACTCTCTCTCACTCTCTCTCTCTCTCTCTATATATATGTATACACACATGAGTATCTTTCTTTTTGTCCTGCCGGACATGCACTTGTGCTGTGCACGCAGCGAACAGAGGCTACATGCGCAGGAGTTGATGAAACCACACAGGTTGCCAGTACCTCCTGTCTGCGTATGAGAGAACTACCAGCCGCGCGTTCTTTGACCGCCTCTTGGCATTCCTAAGCAGTCTGAGCCTCAAGTCCATCAGGAGGGTGACGCACGTGAGGTTTGTCTGTGGAAGTGACGCAAGCTGGGGCGCGTGGCTCAAAGCGGGTGCGTGGGTGAACACATTGAGAAGAACGAGAGAAAAAGAGAATCAACATAAACTGGGGTCACTTTTCCATATTTATACTACCATACCCGTGCCTAGTGCTTGGGCACACGCCGAGGAATGTTAGTTTCCTAAACATTCATACATTTCTCTACATGAACCTCTAGCCAGCGAGGCTAGGATGGCAGAATACTATGGAGGCATGGCGCAGCTGAGAGTGTGAACTTGTTCGGGAGAGGTCTGGCCCCTGGTTAAGTAGCTCTGGTGGGAGTTAGCATCACGCGTCATGTCGATTTACCCTTGTTGACTGCACGCTATGTTCTTCGTGTCTGAGTTGACTGTTGACGCAGCTTGACGGCTTGGGGTGGAGAAGTGTTGCATGCAGCTGGCTGCCCTCTTGCAAGTGCCGCACATGCCTGTCCATTGTGAGCTAGCATGAACTGTAGGCTTCCAGGGCCGGAGATTCTTCGGGCAGATTTGCCACTCGTCCTGGCGGCTCAAGGCACTCAATCACACCGTGCCCAAAATGCTGCAAACCGCTCCAAAAGACAGAAGCGCTTTCGCTGCAAGCTCCGAGCCGGAAACAAGGGGTGCCCAATGAGTCACCGCTGTGGTCCTTTGGCATGATGCGATAAAGGGAAGCCTTTCTTCAGGGTAGCCTTCCATACAAGAGAAGATACATAAGTAGGCTAGCCTTGGATGATCGACTTTAAGAGACACATTGTGTCCAACCCATGATCTTTTCCACTGGATATGGAAAACGCCGCTCACGGCTCTTCGGCTCACAACTCATCGCTCCGCGAGCTATGGTGGACCCCAGGCCGCTGCTTCCAGCCGAGGCGACTGAAGGGCGAGTTTTTTGCGAGTTTTCTCGAGTTTTCTGAGTCAAAGACTTTTCCGAGGTTTTATTAATTTCCCGGGCCAACATCGCGGAGTTTGGTTTCCGCGCCCTCGGCTTGGTAATGTTGGCCCCATATCAATCAACCCCTGGTGGATTCAGGCGTGTTTCCCCTCCAAAAAGTGATGATTCCCCACTAAACCCAGGTGGACACCCCCCTGTTAACAACAGGGGCTGAGCAATATGGGGTCAACATCACGTCCTTCAAGCGAGAGGCTTTGGCTCTGGACTGCCTCGTAGTGGGCGCTGGGCCGGTTGGCCTGCTGCTCGCCTCCGAGCTGCCCGGGTCCCGAAGCGACCCCATGGGCTCGTGTCGTTTTTTTTTTTTTGCAGAGTCATAATGTGGGTGGTCCCCTAAAATGCAACCCGGTCTCAGCTGGGGACAAGGGGTGGGTGTTGCCTATGTTCGGATTCCGGGACCCGTTTCTTGCTGGGCAGGGGGTGTTACCTAAGGACAACATCGCCTGGCAGGATTGTCAGTCCACAGGAGCCCCCTGTTTTGGTGAGGGAAACCAGGCCAAGCCGCCCACTTGTCGTTGTTTAAGAAACACCCGTATCGACTCTGGGTCACGGTTTTCGAGAATGAGACGGAAACATAAGGTCCTTCTTCTGGTTGCAGTTTCACCAGTGCGGGTTTGTCCTCAAATTGAGTCGGTACTCCTTTCGGGCCCCTATGTTGAGACACTTCCAGGTATGACAGGATCAACCAATCAGCATCATTTCGAGGGAAGTTCCCGCCCCCGGCCAAACAAAGACCCTTCTATACCGATACCCCACAAGTTTGTTGGTGGCACCTCCAGTTCAAAAGGACAGTCACCATTGCGGTACGGAAGGTGCATGTCTGAACGGGAAAGAATCAGAGCGGCTGGCGGCTGAGAAGAGCCGCCTGCCTTGCAAGACTCTGTACCGAGGTTTGGTAGGCAGAAGCATGAGCTATTGAGTCACCGAACATCAGTCGCATGTTCGCTAAAGCTTGATGGAGCACTTTCCAATGCATCACAAGGAAACTCGATTTTACTTGTTAGATCCCTTGTCGGCTGTTGAGTCCAGTTTGAGCTGTGTGAAGAAGCATGCAATGCAGATATGTTCGTATCAGCCATTGATGGCCAGCCAATCAGCAGGCTATTTATAAATTGTCATTCAAATGGGAGAGGAACTAGGGGGCTTCTGGAATCCGACCTTGTCCGATTCTTCAGCAAAGTTCTTTCTACAACCATGTTGTGTTAATGTTGACCCCGGATGAATAAGCCATCCTACTAAGAGGGAGTGTTCCTTGGTGTTCCCCTCCAAAAGTGATGCAACTCCACTGACAAGGGGACGGGGTTTAAACAAATCCAGGGGTTCCAGTTGTTTGCTTCATTTTGCCGGGTCTTGCGTCTGACTTTCTTGTGGCAGGGCAGCCCGCGGCTGCCAGGCCGGGAGCCCATTTTTGATCGTCTCCGGGATCCAAGCGGGATGGTTTTTTGTGGCTCCCGTCTTTGCGGTGTTGAGCATCCTTTTTGGGTCATTTGAGGTGGGTAATGTTTTCAGGTTGGTTAGTTTCTGCGTGCTGAAACTGCTCAAGCTTTACCTTTGGTCCAGATGGGGAGTCAGAGTCCTGGAGCAAAAGGTGCATAGCAAGGGGTCGAGGTGGCGGCAATGGACATTGACAGACAGAACCCTAGTGTCATGGCACTGAAGACTGCGTTTGGTTAAGGCATTGTTCAATGGAACGCAAGATATTTTGATAGGCCATTTGCTCATTTGTTGCTGGCTGTTTCGGCAGATCCCTTGCTTTCAAGTCACTGAAGAGAGTCAGTTGCAAGGCGCCTTCGTCCCCTATGGTCCGCTCCCTCTTTCCCATGAGTCATGAGCTGGAGTCAACAAATCTGCAGATCAGAACACGCCGTCGTGTCCCTCCCATGAGTTGGAGTCAAACACATCCCCGCAGAGGGGTGCTGGTCGCGCCGGGCTATGATTTTTTACTTGGGGACCCTTTGGACATCAGACGCCGGGGATAAAATTGAATTGGAGACCCAAAGGGGACATGTGATTATTGGGATGAATGTCCCGATATGTCCCTTGAGATTTTTGAATCAACCACTGGACAAGTGGAACGCCGGGATTTATGTCCCCTTGAAGGGACCCGACTTCGCCCGATTGAACTTCGGCTTCGCCAGGTGGCGATCATCGATGCGCTGGCGGCGCCGGCTTTGCAGACCAAGGCCTCCGGAGTGGTGGCCAGAAGCCTCGAGGCCGGGGGGTTCTTTTGAGGGTTGATGTCCCTTTAAATGCCAAACGCGGAGTTTTCTTTTCTCTCAGAAATGGACCCTAAAATAGTTGGCGTCCCTTGTTTCCTTAGACGGCCCCTAAATTAGTTGGTTTCCTTTCTCAAATTGATGTTTCGATCACAAAAGCACTGAATGGTCGGTTTCCCATTGGTTTTCCTTCAAATGCCACCCTTCCCCTATTTTGAGAAACCCCTGGCAACGCGCCCCAAAACCCAGACGTGTCATTTTGGCTTCCCTGATGCCTGCCCGAGCCGCCAATGAATTTGCTCGCAAGGTCGGCGACAGCGTGGTGGCAAGAGTTCTACAGAGCCCCATATGGGGGTGTCTTTTGTTAGGGAACCTCCCAGAAATGCTGTTTTTTCTTTGGTTTCCCTTGAAAACCACCACAAAGCAGATCCCCCCAAAAAGCCAGACCTACATTTCCTCCCTTTTGTGCGATGGAGCGCCCATCATTCTTGCAGCTTGGTCACTCGCAAATACGCAGATCGCCTCTCGCAGGTGTTGCCAGCAGAGGTGGAAGGCAAGCTATTGCCAGCGCCTCAACCTTTGCTGCAACAGCTCTTGGCATATTATGACCTATACAGCCTGTGTGGGGTAACGAAAGTGTTTTTTGCCCTTGAGCCGGGAGCTTGTTGTTACAGAATCAACACTTTACCTTAGGAATCCAGGAAAGCACACATTGACGCGCTACGCATTGACATTCTGCGACTTGCTGATATCAGTAATAGGTGGCTAACAAAGGTGAACATACTTTTAGCACATTGAAGACATTGGCATTTGATGACAATTATTTTGGCCCTTTGGCCGAGACAAGACAAATCGCCGAAACAGGCAACTCCATGGGCTTGCTTAATCTCTGTTCATGTTCGCTGCCGCACACCCGACCTCAACGCTGAGAGCTATGCCCAGCCATCAGAGTACAAAATCACAGCGGTCCATTTCCTGAAAGGGTAATTTGAAGCTGCAAGGAATCGATTGATCCTGGCCCTCATCTCTTCATACTCCGAGGAAGAACGGCAACCTCCTGAAAAGACTTGTCCTAAAGGAGAAGAAGGCCAGATGACTTGGCCCCGCTGCGATGGCATCTCGTGATAAGATTAGAAGGAGCTGCCAGCTTGTGGACACCAGGTGTTGATCCTGTGTGTGTGTGTGTTTGCTTGCGTGCGTGCGTGGTTGCGTGGGTGGGGGTTTGTGTGCCGAGTTCCAGTACAAACCTAGAGCCACCATTTGTTCTTGTGGTAGGGGGCACAGGCCCACGTGTACCGGCAGCAGTGATACAAGCTGTTGCTTGATGTGTCCCTGTTAAAGTAGAAGGAGGGACTCGAGCACGTTCGATATTGCATTTGCTTATCACTCGAAATTGATTGTCTTCATCCTGTCTGTGTGTACCAAAGCCCTGCCCCAAGTGACAAAGCATAGGACGGGCCGGGGTTTCAACCAAGGCAGCAGCTTCCTCCCGCTGAGCCATTCTCATGTTTTGGCTGCACCTTGGGGACACCCCAGCCCTTGTGCAAGCGCCACCGATGTTGACTCAGCATGCGAAGGGTAGAACCGTTGAATTAGGTCGCCACACCATGGCGCCTGTGCTGACATTACTCCAGTTGCTTCAGACGCATCAAGACAAATGGACAGATGCAACAAAGTAGGCCAGGGGAGACATCCGAAGGATTTGAGCAGAGTTTGTCCGCTCAACATCATGGTTTCTCGTTGGATTGCGCCCAATTTGCGGAGTCCGCCACTCCGCTTGGCCTCTTCCACGGAAACAAACGCATGGGCCTCAATCTTGTTCATACTGGTGGACAAGAATCGACTTCGCGCCAGTACGGATCAGTAGTTTATCAACCAGTACTTTCAGGGTTTCATCCATCCCAACTGGTGCAGCATTTTGCCCATCCTCAGTACGATTACAACGAGCTCGGCTGTCAGAATTCGCGGACCTTTGCTGTCGAGCCTCATGCCTTTGGCCTATTGCCCCTTTCTCCAAGGATGCACCCAAGAGAGGAGAGAGCCAAGCGCAGGACAGCCTACCAGC